GTTAGAAGGAATCCTGTCGCTTCTAACTTTTCAATAACTGCTTTGGTCGCAGCGCTACGTTACTTGTGTAACTTAATTACCGGTTAACTCAGTTAAGAAAAAGACGCTACTAGTGCATTTATCACCGAGGGCAATGGTGTCTACAAAAGCGGGTTGGTTCTTAGTCTTCTGAGACGAGCAGGTTTCTCTTTTCAACAGGGGTCCTAAAGAGAAAAAGTCCTGAACAGAGAGAATGAAATTGGGGCTGACCCCCCAATTATGGGAGTTAGCAGTGGAATTATGGGAGTTAGAGTCCTTAAAAGGACTGTGGTAGTACATACACTTCTCTGCCACTCCTGACTTTCTCATACAAAACCACAATTCCTCCCTTGGCATTATGCCTTATCTACAAATACACAATGTAGCTCCTTCTGACCTTCTCTGCACTTCTCCATCAGCATCCTCAAGGCAAATATTGCATCTATATAATAATAATAATTTGAAACTTAAATAACTGCTTTAAAATCAAATTGAATGTATCTGTTGTGGTCGGGATCAGTTGGTACAGTTGGTTTTATTTCAGTTGGGCAGCTGGAATATTTCAAGTGTTGTTGGTCTACACACTCATGCACAGTATAATATGGCACAGAATCAAACCTTGAGATCTGAATCCCGATGATAATGTGTTTGTACTAAAATCAAAAGGTTAAAAGCAAAACTATTACTTTTACAAACATTTAAATTGATAATTGTTTTTATTGTTGTTAAAGGTTAACTATTAAACATGATCAGAGTTCAGCAAATTTCAGTACACTTTAGAGGTCTAATGTTAATATAGGATCAAATGAACCTGTATCAACGGATTGGTTACAGAAGACATTTTTGTTGAATGTTGTTTTTAATGTTGTTTGTAAAAAAAGCTCCTATTGGATGGTCCACCTGTCAACTAAAGCCACATCTGCTCTCCTCTATCTACTTCTGCACTTGTTTCCTCACTACTGTTCTCCTTTCAAGAGTTCCTCTATTGAACCTGATTGTTAATTCTCCTCTTTGGATATAAGCATCTGCTAAATGCATAAATGTAAATGTACAGGGTTTCTCCACTCACGTGCACCATTTCCCGCATTTTAACCTGTAAATTGTCTTGGCAAATCTATCTTTTCCAGACAAAAGACAAAGAAACAGATCACCTCTGGTTCTTTCCTGAAGCTTCTTTGATATCTACAGGTGGTTGCATCCATGTTTAATCTACGGCTCTCCTTAGATCATTTCATGTAAGTATAAGTATACTTACATGAAATGATTCATTATTAGTTTCATATAAATCTCTCTGAACTAAATGCTGCATCATAATATTGACCACTAAACCACTAAGTGACCACTGTGTACACTGGTTAATACAACAGTGACAAAGAGGAAAGACAGATTGGTTTGTTTTTTAAAAAGCTGCCTTACATTTGAATACAAGCCTGGGCAGAAATGACTGTGAAGTTTTTATTAATGTGGAACAGGTTTTTTGGACCCACAGGCCTTGTCTGGACCACAGCCAAACATCCCACCCTGTGCTGTTCCCACATCAGACCTCCTCACTTATTAGATCGAGGGTATTTTGGAATGTATTTTGCCTTGTGTGATGTGATTGTTTGCAGAGGAATAGGTTGACCTTGCCCTCAGATGCCACACACACACACACTTGTTGTGGCAGGACTGAAGGTGTGTGAGACAGACCTGCTGAGTGCAGGAGGTCTGGGACCCCTTCAGTACTTCCTGCACACGGAGAACACAGTTCCATTCAGCTGGAGCCAGGATGGGAGTATAATGAGCTGTCTAGTTAAAACAACCACCACCTCATTTCAGCTATTATTGAAACCTCTGACATTTTTTTCCTGCTTTAAATCAAGGATTATTAATCAAGAGCAAAACACGGTTTAGAACATGAGTTTTGGTCAATTTATTATGCAAACTCTGACTGAACCTCATTTTGCTCTGATTTCAAAAAAAGATCTGGACAAATACATGTTTCAGTATCTTATAGCAGTGGTCCCCAGCCTTTTTTGTACCAAGTACCGGTCGGCTGGTGTCAGCTGTGACTGTGGACCGGTAATACTGCATCATTGTTGAAGAATCATTACATTTTCTGAATAAAACATCTTTTAGACTTGATTCTGTCAGTATCAGAGTCTGAATGAACTGTTGGTTTGAAAACATTGTCAGATTTAATGAAAAAATAAAAGAGATATGACTGGATTCTTTTTGAATGAGGTAAATTAGTAAAACTGAAGTACACTTTTTCACTGTGTCCCACTGCGGCCTGGTACCAAATGACCTACGGATTAACACGGCCCACGGACTGGGGTTGGGGGCTGCAGTTGTTTTTAATTTTTTTGTTTTAATGTTTTTGGTAAGTTTAATAGAAAAATGAGTGAACAACTGACTAACTAATAACAGTATTAAACTTCACTTTTAAACTTTAAGTTTTATTTATTTGAACTCTACACAATGAACTTGAGAAATTATTATCAATAATTATAAAATCTAAACATCCAGATCACTATTGTTAACGCTATCAGCAAATGACAAGTAAAACAAAAATTGATTAGTTTTTGTAAGGGTATTTTAATGGCACTGTGTTTGAAAATTTGATCGGAAAGTTTCTTCCAGGTCATCGGAAACACACACTCCACGCCCCACATGCACGGACACACAGACGGTTCTTTCTCTTCTGCCTTTGTTTGTTTGTTGATTTGTTTAGAGATGTCGTAACAATGAATGTAAAACATTGTGTTTGTATTTCTTCATGTATTTAATTTGAATACATGTATACTTTACCAGGATAAACAACTGTTATAATAACACATCAGTAGTGATAGCTGATAGCCCCGCTGTGTATGGAGTGTACAGTCATGGTCTATTAAGACATCTACAGTATATTACTTGAGTACACGCGTGTACACACACGACTTCTTGTATGCTGTGGTATATTCAGTACGACTATGGAGAATTAATGCAATGTTATTATTATTATTTATTTATTTGTTTTTTCTGTTTGATAAACCAGAGACGCTGCACGTCTTTAGTCTAACATTCCATTGCCAGAGTCTGCCTGTGTGTGATTGGTCAGTATCACACAGCTCGGCTGTGGGTTGCAGATGCCAATGCGCCGCGCAGACCTATGGGAGCAGCTGCAGGGGGAGGGCAGACTCCATTAATGACCGAGGACATGGGGAGGTTTAGATGTTCAGATCAGGGCAGCAGCAGCAGCAGCAGCAGAGAGGAGGGTGCGTCACATTTTACGGTGGACTGATCTCAGCCTTCACTGTCGCCGGTGTCTGAAACAGGAGGCAACGATGAGGCCGAGGCACTGGCTGTGAGTCTGAGGAGAGGAGGGATTGTTGCGCACTTCAAACCCTGGCTATAGCAGAACTCATTGTGGATTTTATGAGATCTGAGGGGGGACATTTGGATTCTTTGGATGTTATAATATCCCACTTTGAGTCGTGGTAAACTGAAACTATAAGACTGTTACAAGAGGAGGAGCTGTAGCAGGAGGAAAAAGAGCGGGATGAGAGTGTATTCTTCAGGGAACAGGGACGTTTTTTAGGTAAACAGGCCTCACATGTACATATCTAGTACTCACACACTCACGTGCAGTAAAAATCCAAGGTAGTATGGGTAATTTAGGCCAGTAACGAGCACTTGGACTTGAAGCTCTGCTTGGAGTTTTTACGCACTCGTTTAACCAGTGCAAATTATATTTATAATGTGATAATATTGATGTTTAAATATCGGAATCAGTCAAGCCGAGTATGAAAGTAGACCCGAGAAAAATAACTTTGATCACTCTGGGACTTTGGTCTCTGTTGCCTTTAGAATTGTCCTAACTGTGTACGTCCTTCGCCTACGTGTATATTTTCTCTTCTTTTGGACCATTCTCTGAAAAAACAAATGGTTAAAATTCCAAAAGGTAGTCAGTGTTTGAAATACTTATTAAGACATGCTCGGTTTGATCTTTACAATGTCTGCAAGGCGAGTATTCAAAATGAAAATGTCCTTATATATTCACTACACTGTACATTACAATCGGTCTTATTTACTTAACTCAATTGCAAATAATACGTTGATTTGCACAGAAAATGTAGGATCTTAGGATGTGTATCATCGAAAGCCCCGGTCTTTTCGTAGCATTGAAAAAAATATTTTTTGCTGGTACCAGTTTGAGTATCTTATTATTTTTGTAGTTTATATTTTATGAATGTTCTTAGATGATATGACATGTATTATTTTGATGAAATTGACGGACTCGAATAAATAATGTTTTGAAGTAGGGTAACATGTCTTGTGCATTTAGATGTCAAATAACCGAATTCAATAACAGAACAAATAAAAGGGAGCGATTTTATAGCTACGTTAATAGATTCTAGGATAGAAAGTCGTGATAATAATTTCGATATATTTTACTTTAAACCTATGCGGAATAAAGGGGCGGCGTGCTAATGTTCTGCAATGTATAGTAAAATATGCCTCGACAAAATGTGTTTTTACAACGTTAAAAACTGCATTTACTAAAAAAAAACACAATTCTGAGAAAGGTATTAATTGATTAATTAAGTTGAATCTAATTAATCAATTAATACCTAATTATATATCTAATTAATCAAATAAATCTGCACGAATTTCCTAATCCTGCTCCTAATTTAAACGTATTAAGAAAAATGAACACTATAAAATATTTTATGTGACCCTATTTTTGTTTCTGTGCACCAAGGCCAATAAGGCCAAACTTTTCTCCTATTCTAAATAATTTGCAATATTCAAATATTTCCACTTTGTATATTAACCAAATAATAAGTTTGATTTGCAGTTAGTGGAAATGTGCAATTTAAATACATCCATCCATCCATCCATCCATTTTCATCCGCTTATCCGTTACCGGGTCGCGGGGGCAGCAGTCGCCACCCAAATCACATTGCACCGTACCAAACCTTCCTGCGGGTGGTGAGTCCACTGGAAGGTACCAATTTAAATACAGTTAGTTTGCAATTTTATAAAGTGTAATTAAATTTCAACTTCGTATTTGTATCTTTTAAATTTAATTCAAACCATTGTGAGTGCATTTTGGAGCAAACTATAGAAAAAAATGTGTACTGTAAAAAAAAAAAAAAAATCTATGTGTGTGTGTGTATGTGTCAGTTGACCATGGCAAACGGAGGAGACCAGTTTGGACTTTCAGGTCGCCCGGACTCGGACTGTAATGAATCTCCAAAAGAGAACGAACCTGAGACTCCGAGCTTTAGTTGCAGTTCTCCAGCTTCACCTCAGACAACGACCAACCAACAGGTGTAATATACATGTTAGTCATTATTAATAGCACGCATGGCTTACTAAAAATCCACTGTATTAAATAATACCCTGTGTAAAACATGTGTAATTGTAGAATTTCGTACGGTATTTTGTTTTAATATTTGAATTTGTCGAACTTTACTCAGCAGTGAGCACTGTTTGTGTTTGTGCTGCAGGGAATGGAAGGAATCAACGTGTTCCTTCATGACAGAGAACTGTGGAGAAAATTTGACGAAGTTGGAACTGAGATGATCATCACTAAAGCTGGAAGGTAAGAGAAAGAAATGCGCATTAGCTTTGCTTCATTTTCTATCTTTAAGTAGTTTAAAACCTGTGGGTGTGGATCTGGAAATTAAGTAATGCTATAAAGTAAGGAGAAAATCAAAACCTTTGCCACAGTGTTGCAGGCTGTTTAGAGAAAAAGAACAGCAAGAACAAAAAATTAATTCAGTGTTGATTTTCTATAACTATTATTATTCATATTATTATTATTTTCATACATATATTGTATTCTCTGTAGGAGGATGTTCCCTAGCTACAAGGTGAAGGTCACAGGCCTCAACCCAAAAACCAAGTACATTCTCCTCATGGACATCGTGCCGAGGGATGACAACCGCTACAAGTTTGCAGACAATAAATGGTAGGATGTCAACACGTATAGAGTTTCAGCCAAATGCAAGGTCGAGGTCTGCACGTAGCAGGTCTACATTCCTCATTAAGGAGGTCTTGAAGCAGCAGGATATACTACTTGGATAACCGACCGATCTTTGGATCAGGATCAGATCCCAACCTCGTAGTTGTGTGCGGATTTAACCAGCGTTTCATCCGCGCTTTTACGCATAATTGACTCGACTGCCTCCGACCGACAGCGTTGACCCACTTCCCCGTGTTTCCCCTTGTGTCTGCTCTCCAGTTCAATCCGAGTGTGAAGAGTTCGGCGAGCGGACACACGACGAGATAAGGATTAAAATCTGTAGTAGTACAAACGACCTCTGTGATGTAGTGAAACCCCAAAGAGGAGTGTAAAGAGAAGTGTGTGTATCTGACGTGTTTGTAACATGACTAAAATCCGTCGTTAAATCGACTTTGTTATAACCGCTGCCTTCACATCACTGGGTTGACATTAATTCTATAGACGTATAAATATAGACCAACATTCTGTGTGACACAAGTCGTCTAAAAGTGTGTTTTTTTCCCCCGCAGTTTTTATTTTGGGTCCCGTTTAAATTGCCTTCATGTGGATAAAAGATAAAGTGGTGACCATATGTGACTCACACAACTTGACCTACGTACAAATATGACCCCTCCCTCCCCTCCCCCCATGTAGCCATCTGACCAGATAAACCCAGGTGGGCCGAAGGGAAGGGTTTCTTTGAACACTTAGGAGGACAGGAATCTGTCTTAATGAATCAAAATAATAAATATAAAGGATTTGACGTGATTTGTTGTGATACAGTTAAAAGAACGGAGCGCAGGGATTTATTCCTGCGACAGACGTGGAGTGGAGCCACTCATAAAAGTGGAACATTTTTTAAAGGAACACTATTTTACCTTCTTTTAAACTCTCTATCACACTTATCATACTCACAATCGTGTGTCTTTAGAGTGTGTGAAAAGTTTATCCCATGTTTTATTTTGTTTGGAGACGTTTGGTTCCAACAGCTCGACACGTCACAGATGCCGTGATGTAGATTTTTTTTCTGTTGCGCAAAATTGTCTGACCACAGAGGTCTTTAGATCACAACAGAGTTGGCCTGCACTCACACTGACCACTGTATGTGGCCCACGGTGTTTACCCTCTGATCCGCTGTATTTCTACTCAGGTTGGTAACGGGAAAAGCTGAGCCCGCCATGCCGGGGAGACTGTACGTCCATCCAGACTCTCCGGCCACCGGAGCTCACTGGAGCCGTCAGCTGGTCTCCTTCCAGAAGCTCAAACTCACAAACAACCATCTGGATCCATTTGGCCATGTGAGTAAAAAGTATTTTCGTTTTGTTTATTATTATTATGATATATTTATTTAGTCATTTTAGTCCGAAATATATTTACAGTTTCATCAAGTTTCTCCAAAGTTTTTATTCGAAAAAACAACAACCCTTTTTTCAACACCTTGGGATTTTGTCTTTTCACACCTAATTAGATCGAGATTTGTAACGGGGCTGTGATCATTCAAAAAATATGTTGTTTTAATATTTGTTAGAAAACATTCACGCAATTTCCTCATTCAAAAGGTGTTTGAAAAGAGAAAAGGTAAACCATGTGTGTGAGAGTGGCAGATCAGTGAGTGTTGAATTAGTGTTAATGGGGAAAAACTTTTTTTCAAGTCTGCTGTACTTTTTGAACATACTACAACCATACATTTGTCAGGGATTAAAACTAAAAAAAGTTGGCTGTAAACATAAGGTCAAACTCGGCAAATAGACAATCCAAGTTTTTTTTACAGGTGTTTAATAAAGGAATAAATAAAGGAACGTAAAGCAAATGCATTTATTTATAAGTACCGCGTGGTGTTTGTCCGATCGCGGCTTTATATGTGAAAATCACTTCTATGAATGATAGAATTTTTTTTGAATCTGTATAATAAATTGAATGATATAATAAAAACAAGAAAAGTACTTTAAGGTATTCTAAAGGTATAGTACTATCAGTATCACTTGTACAGTAGTTCAGTAAGTATAAGTTACACTACATATTGTATTTCCATTCATCTATCGTTATTTATTAATGCAGTTTTTTTTTTAAAAAGATTTCAAACAGATATATCGATATACAAACGTCATGATAAATAGTAAATGACTGACAGGTTCGATTATTCATTGGGTATTTCAAGCATAAGTTACTTTATTATTATCAATAGTATATTCATCCAAACGCGTGGACTTTTTCTTAGGGACTACATATAGTCACATATAGTCACATATTTACTTTTCCGAACACCGAGCACTTCCACGACTCAGTCTTTTATAGTATTCCGTCAGAAGTTGTTAGTGGGTTTATAGAACACCGGCAGCGATTGTAATGGACGGTGTCCATATCAAACACAGATTGGATTTCAAACATGATTTTATTATTTTTTTTCCTATTTTAACAGATAAATGATCTGTCGTCTGTGTGGCATGACTTTAAACACGAATTATTTAAAACTTAAAAAAAAAAGAATTTCTTATTGAATGTATTGTTTTATTTAAAAAATGTGTTGTTTGACAAATGAAAAAAAGCATCTGGGGTTTTTTAGGTTCATTTTTTGCATTAAATTAATGCAAAACATCAGAAAATACAAACATATTGTTTAATCAAGTATAATATTGATAATCAGAATCCAGTTAGCGAGTTTCGGTTTTATTTAATCTTTATCTTAAGGTCCAAGTTCAAGTCCAACTGCTGGAGTTTTTTTTTTTTTTTTTTTTTTTTATAAAAACTGAAAAGTTCAATTTCTTATGTGTATATTAATCTTTGCTCAGACAAGCATCATTTAAACATGCTGTCGTGGAGTCCGTGATATGTGAAGTTGTAGTTTCAGTCCTAGTATTTCATATTAAAATAACTCAGCGTGTCTCGGTGAGGTGGAGGTGAGCTCACCTTTCACACAGTCTCCAGTCCAGACAGCTCCATCATCCTCACCCCTTTAATCTCCCCCCTCCGCAGATAATACTCAACTCCATGCACAAATACCAGCCTCGTCTCCACATCGTCAAGGCGGACGAGAACAACGGCTTCGGCTCCAAGAACACAGCCTTCTGCAGCCACGTCTTCTCTGAGACGGCCTTCATCGCCGTGACGTCCTACCAGAACCACAAGGTAAGTGGAACAGGAAGTGAAGTCACGGATCGCTCTACTACTATATACTATAGAAGGATACTATTTCTGTTGAATGTTATGGTGGGATGTAAGGGATTGTTTTCAAATTCTTATTTAAAAGAAAAAGAGAAAGACAGAGGCAGACACTGTGTGTGTGTGTACACCTAACAGTAACACAGTTTGAAGAAGCTCATTTTACATGCAGACCAAAAGTTAGTTTTTCAAACATTACATCTCAAAGGATTAAAGTGCAACATAATCATACTTTTTCATCTATCCTATTTTATTCACTTTGCGTGTTGTATTTGTATTCCATATATATTTGTCTTCATATATATTATTGTTGATTACCCAACTGCTCTTCAATATTCTGACTTGTTGTGTATTTTAATCTATTCTATTCTAGTCAAAATCCCATTGTAACCATGAGTGTACAGTTTCACACACACACACACACACACACACACACACACTCACATTATTGAAAACAGAGATACTGAGTCAGCATTTGAAGAATTTTGGACCCAAGCTCAGGTCACACTTTCAGTCATCCTTCAGAAAATGAAGGTTTACCTCAGTGACACATCACTGAGGTCGTAACATCAAAGCTCTGAGGGATGAACCTCTAAAAGCTTTGGCTGCAATCCCTAAACTCTAAACGGTGACTATGTGGGTAAACAGTTTACTCTGTGTCAGCTGAAGGGACGACTGTTCGTTCTGTTAGCAGCTGAGGAATGTTTGGCTGTGCAGAGCTGAGCTGCTCTTAACATGTTTGTCCTCCGACCAATTGACTTTCAGTCAATAAGGAGAACAGTAATAAATGGAAAACGCTTGTGTGCCAGTATGGAAGTGAGTGTCCTGCTGTGTTTGAATTAAGACTTTCTGTGTTCTGTCTTCAGATTACACAGCTGAAGATTGAGAACAATCCCTTCGCCAAAGGCTTCAGAGGCAGCGATGACAATGAACTGCACCGCATGGCAAAGCTTCAAGGGTGAGAACTGGTTTGTGTTTGGGTGAATTTCTAGATGCAGCATTACTATGTGTTGGTCAACTTATCAGAATATTCATGGCCCAGATCTGGCCCACACCTGGTATGTTTGACACGTTAATTCTGCCGACAAATGGCATAAATTGGTGACATGTAGGTGTTATACAGAATTCCTGTGATGCTGCGTGTCACAGGATAAGCTATTTTAGATTTAGACTTCAGTGCATGTTTCACCAGATGCTTTCTGCATTTTTTTCCCACTGAACTACTGTGACTCTGAAAAATGTAGAAAGGTTTTTTTATATACAGTATATATCTCATGTCTTGTGTGGTTCCAAAATCTGAGGTCCAGTTTGATTATTTAACAGTCTGTCATTTAAGACAAAAATGTGTTTCTTAATGAGAGCACAGCTGGGATTATCAAAAGAAAGGAAGAACGTTTAGGCTGAAAGCTTGTCATACTTGTACTTGCAGCACAAACCTGACACACACAATCTAAACTAAATCATTAACAGATAATTTCATGTCAGAGACAGTGGTGCCGGCAGTCACTGCTGATCGGCTGTTGGTCTCCTTTAAGTGTGTCTTGTCACAGTCAACGTCCCACTACTGAAGCAGAAGGTGAGGGTGTTGTGACTTTAGGGAAGGAGAAGGAAAAGACATAAAGAAGAAAATGAAAAAAGGAGAGGGAGGAAAGGCGAGGTGAGAGGAGAGAAAATGACAGTGGAGAAGAAATCAGATGTCAACAGAAGAGGAAAAAGAAAATAATAAAGAGAGGAATAAAGGGGGGAGGAGAGGACATGAGAGGAGATGTGATGCGAGGGAGGAAAGAAAGGGAGAAGAGAATGGGAGAGGAAAATGGATGAGAAAAGAAAAGAAGACAAGAGAGGAGAGGAGAGGAGAGAACTTGAATCCATCTGAAGTGACACTGGGATTGATGTTTATTTTTAGAGCAGCAAATTATCTCACAGCAACAGACCGTGCATGTGCCTGTGTGTGTGTGCGCGTGTTTGTGTGTGTGTCAGTCAGATGTGGACCTCTGTCCTCTACTGCCTGCTACAGGGTTCAACAGCAGGGCAGTGTGCGCAGAGACAGATCAGAGCTGAAAGGACAGGGAGAAACAGAGTAAAACCATGAAAGACAGAGAACTACTCCGAATTGATTCCCACTAAACAACCAATAGATAGAAAAGATTTTAAATTTCAAATGTCAGTTGCATGTCTATGTCTCTAGAATGTGACTTGGTTTAATTGATGGTTGATTATAGACAATACATGAAATAAGTAACAAAAGTGACACCATAATATATAGTTATCTGAGCCTGGTCCTGTTATCTGTCAATCTATCCAGGCTCCTATTGGATGATCTATAGCTGCCAATCAAACACAGTATTCACTACTTTATTGTTGTCTGTTAAATGGTGTGATATCTCTAGTAGAAGACATGGAATTAGGGACCTGAATCATAAGATCATACAGTCTGTGCGTATCACTGTTGTGTCACTCTAACAGCTCTGTTGACAGTAATTTTTCTCTCTTACAGGAAGGATTACCCAGTGGTTCCACGTAGTACTGTGCGTCAGAGACTGTGCTCCAGTGGGAGCCCCTTCAGTGGGAAGGGTCAGGGAGTGATGGTCTCTCCTGAGGCTGTTGCTTCTCCCTATAGCTGTGAAAATGGCCTGAAGAGCAGCAGCAGTCCACAAGAGCTGATGGCTGCTCCCCCTACTCACTGCACCTCGCCTCACCCTCAGCCCCCACCTCAGCTGCAGCACAGCCAGCAACAGCAGCTCTACCAATGCAGCAAGAGAAAACGTAAGAGAAAGATGACTTTTTACTATAAACATTCATGGAATTATCAT